TATATACATATGTATATAATAATTGAAATGTGACTATTTTACAAAATGATAGTTTATTATAACACAGCCAAGATAGGTCACTGTAAAGACTAAAGGTTGGTTTTATATTATAGGATATGGTAACACGAGTGCACGTGTGCTGCGTCATTCTAACTTCAGTGTTGTTAGCCAGGCATGGCTAGAAGGTCAATATAAAAAAAAGAAGTAAATATATATATAAATGTATAGTGTTATGAGAGTTAAGCTATTTAGTCTAAACACTTATGTTTTTGTGTTATAATTTATAGTCATTCTAGAACAAAAAAAAAGGCATCATTTATTTTTATTTTCTTAATTTTTAACGTGGTTTCGAGATCAGTCAAATCGACCAAACCTATATAGAGATTCCTTACAGAAAATAAAAGATAAAATATAATTTTTTTCTTAAGAAACATTTGATAACTATCTGGACATTATAAAGATTTTGCATGTGAAATTTCCTGATGCAAAAAAATATTTTTAATCTTAAAATGAAAATTACTTTGCATGTTGGATAGGCAATATGCGAAAAGAAAAAAAAAAAACATTAGAAAAAACATTGCTTACCAACCTTAAGACTTAATAAAAAAAAATTTGATATATTACATATGAAAGCATTGTAATGTTAACTGATAATCTGCCAAATTTTTTTAATGTACGCTAACTAATTTAAAAGTTATAGCATGAAACTATAACAAGCACAAAATGGTTACAAGGTCAGTCCCAGGGACAGAGCATTTCTGAAAGAGTTAAAAGAAAGACTCCTTGGGGCTGAACAGAAATGAAAATTCAAACATTTTATAATTTTTGTTTGTGAACTACACCACAATATCTTACAAAATAGTTATAATTATTATTTTTTGTTTAAATTTTGAAATATGATATACACTAAAAACAATTTATATATGAACATTTATATTACAAGCTGAATGTATTTTGGAAAAATAAGTAATCAGTTTTTGTTAACTGTGGCTACCTTTTGATAACATTGTGAAGTTGTAGCCTAAATATTTTCCTATACACAAAAAGCAACAAAATATGTCCAACCAAATTCAGATTATGCCCATTGTCCTATGACAAAGTTTTTACTTGCAGCCCTGCCTTCGTGACAGGGCATGCTGTAATCAACAAATAACTGAATATATTTCCATGTAAAATTTTAAAAATAGCATCAGAGGAACTGAAAATTGGCTAGATGTAATAAATACAACAATAAATAAGTTTTTACTGTACAATATAATTTTCAAGTCTAAGGAATGTATTAGTGGGGGAAACGAACAATATAACAATCAAGATTAATTGCTTACAAGAAATTTGTTGATTAAATAGTATAAAGTGAGGAAAATTCCTGCTTCAGGTTGGTTTCATCGAATTCTGTCGTTACACATGGTCAGTTTATATTGAAGAGAAAAGAAGGCTGGTTAAAAGTTCTTTTCACATAGCACCATCTGACACATTTTATTCAAACTATAAGACAACAGAAATATGCAATTCCAAGATATAAAATAACAAGAAAGAAAAGTTTTTTCTGAAAAAAAAAAAAAGATTTGAAATTTACAGATTTGGTTTTTTCCATTCATTAATGTGAAATTAAAAATTTTAATTTTGTAATAAATTAAAATTCTTTTTCAAACTTAACACTTCCATTTAACCAAAATTCTACACAATTAAAGGAGTAAAGTGTGTGGGAATATCTTTAAACTTCATTAAACTAAGCAAAACTGAAATCGGGAGTAGGGAAATACAGATAACGTAACCTCATGCATAAGGGATGGGTAGATGTAGATGGTACAATGCACTGAAAAGGGAAAGGTATACGATGAATGTATCTGTCATCTTTCAAAACCCTATATTAGACGACAGTATTTGTATGGTTAAGATTTTGTATATAGATTTCTTCATCTGTTAATAGACACTTAGAGTATTAGTACCATCACCCTGTTGAGTTTTAATACTTGCTGTCAGTACCAAGGTTTTGAAAGTGTTGCTAGATCTGGTGTTTCTTACAAGATAATTTGATTGATTTTTCATTTTTGATCAGACCATTCAGCTCAAAATGTCTTTCATACTAAAGATATTTGGTGGGTATCCGATATTGTGGAATAGGTTTAACCTCGCAGTCATTGAGACAACTTGAGCAACCATCAGATTCGTTCAGAAATCTACATACCTAACCTCATATGTAAGTAGTCTAGGCAGGTCATTTAACTATTTTAATTACTGTAAAACCACAGTATTGCCTTTACATTTTATAAACTTTGTGCATTTAATTACAAAATACCACACAAAAAAAAAATGTTTCGTACACAAAGTACAAGTTTCTCCCTTATTATGTATTAATTGATTGTCTACCTTTTAGGTATATATCAATAGAATCGTTAACAAAAAACAAATTAATAATTTCATGTTAAAATAATGAATAGTTAGCTTCAATATAAAAACATTAAATACCTAGAAAGCATGAATAAGTAGAATTCAATTCTATAGTTACTGTAGTTTGTTTTCACAAAGTTTGTAGTTTAAATGAGCAATTCATTACATATTGTGGAAAACAAAATTCATTTTGTGTTTTCTATGATGTATTGTTTAGGCAGACTTTCAAAACTTCATCCTCTACATTGTGTTTCTTACAACAAGCAGTTGCCATCCATTCTAGTATACTCATTATTTCATATTTATTTAATCTTTAGGTAAATCTTAAAAGAAAATTATTTCACTCAATAAATGTTCTTGAAAATATTCATTTATCAATTCAGGAAAGAAAACAAGCATACTTAGTGAGAAAAACAAAGGATAGCATGAAAAAGTTTTCAAAAATGACAGAAAATTGTATCAAATAGTTCATCAAATGCAATTTAGGTCATGATCAAATTTACTAAAACACTTATTGCTAGTCTGAAGTTGCTAATAATTTATATCTAGTTTTGTAACTTAAACTTTAAAACATATTTGCAAATATTTGATGTCTATATGGAACAGTATAGTTTGAAAATGTCATATTACTTCATGTGTATCATCACTAGTCTAAATCAATTAAAATTAAATTATCAGAGTCATAGCAGCCAACAGGATCACACAAAGTTATCTGTAAGCTTCTCTGGGTATACAAATGACA